CACACAGTCTACGCTAAACAAATCTATAATAAGCTTCACTGGAAGGGAAGGGAATAGAGAGATTAAAAAAACCTCGTGTGGTATCATGGGCCAGTCTCTGTGGCCTAGTTCAGCAAGTGCTTCGGTTCATCCCAGTTCAGTGCTAAGTGCTTCAGTTCAGCACAGTTCAGCAAAGCACGTAAGCGTATATTTAACCTGAAGTCCCACTGAAGTCATGATGACTTAAGCACAAGCATAAATGCTTTGTTGGCTCAAAATTAGATACCTGCCATTGTTGTTTGCAATGTAGTTGTAGGCATGCTAGTCCCAGGATATTAGAGAGACAAAACTGTTTCTCTCACCATCGGGAGTTGATCCAATAAAAGCTATTACCTCGCCCACCGTGTCTTGCTGAATCAAGACCCGTAAAACCAAAGGTGGTACCCTGGTCATCAGGGTAAATTATATCTTCCAGCTGTAGCTTCACTAGGATAAGGTGTTCGTAATATCCCAGGGAACTTCCCCCTGCAGATCGGGGTACAGCTAAAACAGAGACTCCCTCCTACAGATGCTATCTTTGAGCACGGTATAAATAGAAAGAAAGCGTTTATACGCTGACCCTGGTGCATGCTGGGATAGATCTTTAAGCGTTTGGCTAGTGCAGAGTGAATGCAGCTCACATCTGCACTGCATGAGTATAGCTCAGAGGCGCATCAAGTCTCAGTGCTCTGACTTAAAGAGTGCCCGCTAGTCTTCTTCCCTTTCTGTCCTAAACTCCCTGGGTGGTTTTGCCATGTGCTGTTTTTCACACACACACCCCCCCTCACCCCGGACATGGCTCCACTTCAGCAGCAAACGAAGGGATCTTGGTGCATGTCTGGTCAAGTGCCACTTTTTGATTATACTTTTACAGCGCACATGAGGCCTGGTCTACAGGTGGTGTGCACCTAAAACATAGCTTGAGCTAGCTACATTGCTCAGGAGAGAAAAAGTGACACCCCTGAGAGATGGAGTTAAGCCCCGGTATAAACACCGGTAGGTCAATGGAAGAATTCTTCCGTTAACCAAGCTACCGCCAATCTAGGGGATGGATTTACTACAGTGACAAAAAAACCTTTCTGTTATTGTAGCAAATCACTGCAAACAGTCTACACTGAACAAATCTACAATGGCACAGATGCAGTCCTGCCACTGTAATGTTTGTAGCATAGATATGCCCTGAGTTTCACCCACTTTGGTCCATTGTTTGTACATCTGTTTGTTGTGTTGGCAAAGTGCTGTGGGATTCTTTATGGTTCAAAAGTGCCCTTTCTGCACCCCTGGACTGGGCAAGAATCCTACTGCAGTGAATGGGCATGTTGACTGAGTATGGACTGCAGGACTGGGCCCATGGCATTTTAAGAGGGAGCTTGACAAGTTTCTGAATGATACGATGGGGTTGCCTGCGATCGCTGGGGTCTGGGCTTCTGATGACCTTGCCTGTCTCGCGTTCCTAAATGTAAGATCAGGCTCATTTCCTGGGAAAATGCAGCAGATCCCCAGATAATCCCATCGTTAGCTCACCTGGGTAGCAATCAACTACAGCAACAGCTCATGGGTGCTGTGTTCAAGCAGAAAAAGAGTTAAGTTACAACTGCATTTCTCGTGAACTGATGTCTTCCCGTGGTTAAGTACGGTGCCAATCACAGACTCCATCAAAATGCATGTGAAACGTCTGACAAAAAGGGAAGGTGGGTAAATCCGATCTTTATTCACTTGACTGATTCGTTTGTTCTACTTGTTGAGATTTAAAGGACACCCATTAATGAGCACCTACCCCAGGGTCTAGATGCCCTTCCCACCTGTTCTCGTTACTGGACCAAACCAACAGCACCTTCCCCCACCTCGTCGGCCAAGCACCCTGGCAGTCAAACAATTAAAAACCTCCAAATTCCTATAGGTAACCCCATCCCCAACTCCTCAGCCCTACTGTGCAAACACAAGGACTATGCAGCACACCATGAAGGTCAGTACGGTGGGGCTATTTCTGCCCCGTGTGCAAAATGAATTGCAGAGTGGAGTGGCTCTCGCGGCCAAAATCCTGCCACCATCTCTCCTCTGTGCCAGGGGAGCTCCAGCTCAGGTATCTCCGCTGTGGTAGTGGGGCAGGGGCAGAAGGGCATCTTTCAAGTAGGAAGGTCCCAGGCTATTTTAGGACAGTAGGACAATATACAGAACAATAGCAACACCTTAAACTCCACCTGGAGGCCAACAAGGCTCCAGATGGGCTTAGGGTCTGTCCACGTGGGTCTAATTGCAGGAGCAGGGCCTAAATTAAGACCAGATGTAATGACTGGGTGTAACAGACTTGGAAGGCATGGGAGAGGGAGGCCAAGTGGATAGACTCAAGAGAACTGGATTCTACCCCTGGCTCTTCTGCTGCCCAGCTGGGTGATCTGGGGCAAGTCACTTCACTGCCTTGTGCCTCAGTTTCCCCATCTGTAAAATGGAGATAATGATACCGATGACCTTTGTGAGGCACTTTGAGATTAACTGATGAAAAGTGCTGTATAAGAGCTAGGTGGTATTATGAGGGTAACAATGACAGGAACAACTGGCTACATAGACTCTGCACAATTAGCAGGTTTCAAGTCAGAAGAATTATTTTATAACTAAGAAATATTCAAGCGCTCAGTAAGCCCTACTGCCCACCAGCCTTGGCAGTGGGGTCCAGTGGCCAGAGCAGTGGTCTGGAATTCAGGAGAGCTGTATTCAGTTCCCACCTCTGCCACTCACTAGCTGGGTGACCTTGGGCAAGTTACTTCTCTTCTCTGGGCCTCTGATTCCCCTCACAGAGGTCGGCTGCCTTGTCTATTTAAATTGTAAGCTGTTGGGGGCAGGGAGCATGTCTTACTGGGCGAATGTACAGCGCTCAGCACAATGGGGCCGGTAGGCACTACTGTAATTATCATTAAGGTGCCGATTTTAGAATCATCAATGAAATGTGGATGGGTCCTTGAGAAGTCATCACGTCCAGCCCCCTGTGCTGTGGCAGGACCAAGTAAACCTAGACCATCCCTGACAGGTATTCATCCAGCCTGTTCTTAAACACTTCCCATGATCGAGATCCCACAGCCTCCCTTGGAAGCCTGTTCCAGAACTTAACTACCCTTACAGTTGGAACATTTTTCCTAATATCCAGCCTAAATCTCCCTTGTGGCGGACGGAGCTCATTACTTCTTGTCCTACCTTCAGTGGACAGGGAGAAGGATGGATCCCCGCCCCCTTTATAACAGTCCCTACTGTATCTGAAGACTGTTATCAGGTCCCTCCTCGGTCTTTTCGCAAGGGCCAGGTTTTTTTAACCTTTCCTCAGAGGTCAGGTCGTCTAAACCTTTTATCATTTTTCATGCTCTCCTTGGGACTCTCTCCAGTTTATCCACATCTTTCCTAAAGTGCGGCACTCAGACCTGGACACCGTACTCCAGCTGTGGCCCCACCAGTGCCAATTACCTCCTGTGTCTTCCATACAATATTCCGGTTAATAAACCACAGATTATTAGCCTTTTTCACAGCTGCATCACGTTGTTGAGTCTCATTCAATCCGTGGTCCACGGGAACCTCCAGATCTTTAACTGTACTACCACCTACCCAATTATTCCCTGTTCCAGGGTGTGCATTCGATTTTTCCTTCCTAAAGGATTTTGGTGCAGAAGTCACATTTTCATGGTAAGCGTGAATTTTAATAAAGTTTGTGATCCCTGCAACGGCAGCTCCCGTGGGCCTGGAGTCCTGCTCCAAGCATTGCAACCTACCACCTCGGTTGCAACGCCGCTCAGGCCTGGCATGTCCGCCCCTCCGTAGGTGGGGGCTTCCCCCCCTCCTCTGCCGTGAAGTTGACTAACAATTTGCTTGACAAAATCACAGCCTTAACTGTGACATAACAAACAGAGCCAAATAGTAAAACATACCTAGGAAAGGACAAACCGATTTTAAGCTGAACCAGCAGCGAGCCGCTGGGTCAATCAGAGCTGCGTGAAATTATTTTCATTTACGTATATTGGCTTCTGCTTGATCTGCAGTCACTTCCAAGTAGTGATGCTCTCCCACAGAACAGCTAATACAGCTGCACTGTTCATGAGTGTACTTTTTTCATGGAGCTGCGTTGGGTTTTTTTTAAAAAAAAAAAAACAACCAAAAAAACCCCAAACCCTTCTGTGTCTTCCTTTGCTGGCCCAGGGATTATCCAGCAGGATAATGCTCTGATCCTCTGGCCTTGCTTCTGATGAGATGTCTGTGAGTGGCTTCACTTAACAGACACACTGTGCTCCCCCGGGGGGCAGTTTTTATTAAGTGCTTTTCCTTTAATAGTCAAAGAAGCTGCTATTCCTTATTTCCATTGCTTGTGTTCCCTTGCTCCTCTTCACAACCCCCCCTCCCTGCACCCTGCAGGCTTAGAGGCCAAGGAGGGGCTAAAACGCACCCTTAGATACCATCATCCTCATGGGATGATTGTGTCTCTCCCTAGCCTCAGCTAAACTCCCAGCAAACCCAGCTGACCAGGGACCCGCCTGTGTAAACCTTCTCCTGCTGCCCCCTGGCTTCAGACATGCATTGCCCCTGCTCATCCAGGCCCTCCAGGCGTCTCTTGCCGAGGTGTTTCAAAGCAAGGCACTTTTCTTGGCTTTTTTAGTCGTCGTTTCAGGAGGGCTGAGGGGGAAAGGGAGGAGAGCCTCGGATCCCCGGGAAGGCACCTGCAAGAAGGGGGATTTTTTTTTTTTTGCAAGATTCCCCCTCCCTGGGAAATGTCTTCCCCTGCTGGGGTGTCCAAGAGGAGGCTGGGAGGGTGGGTGAGGGGGGAGGAGTCGAGGCACCACCCCAGCCCGGGGGAAGTGGGTGGGGGGAAGAATGTGCCGGGGCGTGAAATTGACACGTACCCTCGGCTCACCGGCCGCAGCTGGGGCTGGCTCTGGGGCGCGCGTGGCCCCGGCAGCAGCGGGAGGCTGCAGGAGGGTTTCTCCGGGGGGCTGGAGAGCACGGGGAGGGGCTCGCAGGGGAGGCGGGGCTGCGCTCCGGGGTCCCTCTCGTCCTGCCCGTGGAGGGAGGCTGGGACCCGCCTCAGCAAGGAGCCGGAGGGGGGACCTGGCTGTGGCTGGAAGATGTCCCTGGCAGGAGGGCGCAGAGTCTCCCTTTGCAAAGGTAAATCGCTGCCGGGCGCGGTTCCTCTGCTCCCGCTCAGCTGCGGGGACGGTGGGAGGGAGCCGGGGGTCAGGCAGGGGGTGGGTGGGTTGCAAGCATCAGCTGGGGCTGGCACTGTCAGGGGGCAGGAGTTCTTCCCCCTGAACCCGGGACCGATCTCACGGGCTGCTCGGCGAAAGCCAACCCCCCCTTCCCCCCAGCCCAGGGTTAGCCAGGGCCAGGGTGGTGTTTAACCTGCCCGGGTGGTGGTCCCTCCGTGTGAGACCGAGGGAAAGTCAGTAAGTGAGCAGAAAGAAAAGGAGGACTTGTGGCACCTTAGAGACTAACCAATTTATTTGAGACGCTGCAACTGATGCAAAGTGCTGTGTGGTTGCATCAAGCGCCTAGGACGTTGTGTGTGTGTGTGTAGCACATGGGATTTAAACTGTGTGTGTGCATAGTACTTTTAATATATTTGTGTATATGGTTACAGGAGATATTCTCATTCTCTCTCTCTCACACACACACCCCCCAAGCCACACCTTGTGTATTGGTTGCAGTGTCTTTTCGAAATCCATTCGAATGCCATCAACTGACCTATGGAATAAGAGGTTGACAGTTATGCAGCCTTTGCACAGTAAATGGTAAGGTTTCTCTTTGTTGTTAATTTAGCATTAACAACGAGGAGTCCTTGTGGCACCTTAGAGATGAACGGATTTATTTGGCCATAAGCTTTCGTGGGCTAAAACCCACTTCATCAGCTGCATGGAGTGGTAGATACAGTAGGAAGAGAGATATACAGAGTACATGAAAAGATGGGGGTTGCCTTTAACAATGTAACAATTTAGCATTGTTCACTCACCCTCTGGCAGACTAGCTGGAGGATAACCTTTTCCAAAGCCGGGGGGGGGCCGGGGGCGTGACTTGGGCTCCCCAGTCCCATTGCAAGTCATTAATCAATACGAGCCAACGTGGCAGATTTAAAGGCAAAGGAGTGATTGAAAAACAACAAATCACGTGGAATAAAATGCTGTGTTTTGTAGGTGTCGCCCGGGAGAGCTGTGGGAGAAAATTTGGGTCACTCCTCCTTGCCATGAGCCGAAAGAATGATGCTGAGGGTCATCCCCAATCAGTTTCTCGAGCAGCATCCTCTCTTTGTGGAGAACACAGAGCACGAGTATCCCACACCGAAGTCACTCCCAGATCCATCCATGACTGAGGGACCCTCTGTTCCAGTTGAGCCAGAACTGCTGTCCTCCAACCTAACCAACTCTACAGACTGTGGAGAGGAGATCCTCCTCTATGGGGACACTGAGAAAATCGTGATTGGGACAGTGCTCTCCATCATCACCTTAATGACCATCGCGGGCAACGCCTTGGTCATCATCTCTGTGTGCATTGTCAAGAAGCTCCGGCAGCCCTCGAACTACCTGGTGATCTCCTTGGCAGCGGCCGACCTCTCTGTCGCCTTTGCGGTCATGCCCTTCGTGATCATTACGGATCTGGTGGGAGGGGAGTGGCTGTTTGGGAAGGTGTTTTGCAATGTGTTCATCGCCATGGATGTTATGTGTTGCACCGCTTCCATCATGACCTTGTGTGTCATCAGCGTGGACAGGTAAGGATGCCCTGACACCCCTATATGTAGTGCGTAGCCAGTAGTACGTAGCTGAAGGGTGTTCTGCAAGGGCTGGGAATCTGTGACAAGGTGGGTAAATGCTGCCATCTCCATCCTACAACTGGGGAAACTGAGGCACGGAGCGGCTAAGTCACTTGCTCCAGAGAAGTCAGTGGAGGAAAGGACCCAGGTCTCCTACTGCCAGCCTCCTCCCAGGAAGCTCCCTAAAAGTGGAAGAGCCACTGGTACCCCAATTATGGCCCCACCTCCCGTACTGCCCCTTCTCCCCGAGTCTCCGCCCCCGTGCTGCCCCTTCCCTGGGGCCCCACCCCCATGCCACCTCTTCCCCCCACGACCCCGCCCCTGATCGCTCCTCCCTGCCCCCACGCCCGTCGCTTGCCCTTATGGCAGATAAAAAGTGGGAGGGTATAACCCTCCCACTTTTAAAAGTGATGGGGCCATGCCCCATTCTGGCACCCCTGCCTCCTCCTCTATCCAATGCACAAGAGTCACTTAACTTCTGTGCCCTAGTCCAACCAGGTGTAGAACAGTGTTAAAAAGCAGAAAGTTAATTGAAAATCTAGATGCTGCATTTGAGCTGAGCAAATAAGGAACAACGTATGTTCTAAAAGCCTTTTTGAATATTAGCTGGCCTCTCATGCTAATTTACCTTTGCATCTGAGTAACCAGTTTTGCTCAGCATTTCTTACACAGCAAACTGCCCTGATATTAAAAATAAAATGACTAGAAAACCACTTTTATAAATTGAAGACTTCATTAGTCCCAGCTTTAGTGTGTAAGTGTTGGGGTTTTTTTGTGTGAGAAAGCCAATTAATTAAAGGAAGTACATTAAAATACAGAAGCCCATATTGAAGACGAAAAAAATCCTTATCACGTGCGTGAAAAAATAAAATGCAATAGTGGAATATATGAATTTCTGCTTTTCAGGGATTATCAGCAAGTACAGCTTTAAAACAGAGATCGATAAAATGAAACAGAATTGCCTTTAAAACACACCCACACACTCTCTCTCTCTTTCATTAAATAAAGTGGACAGACTGGAATTTGAAAAATGTGTGTGTGTGGGGGCGGGGGTTTAAGCCACCGTTGCAAGGAGCAATAGAGCTCAAGATGTGAAAGTGAAAAAGAACAGACCTCTTACTAAAATTAACTGCAATTGATTGCACCCATTAATTATGACCATCTGGGCCAAACTCACTGCTGGCGTAAGCAGGCACAAATCCAGAGCAAGCAATGAGTGTGTGGAATTTGGCCTGCCCTCTTTCATCACTGATATATGAGCAGACATGGGATTTCAGGGAAATGCTTATTAATCTGGCCAGAAAGCATTTAAACCCAGAAAATGCAACGGGGCCAAATCCTGAGAAGGGCTGAGCTCCTACAGCAGTCATTGAAGTCAATGAGGAAGCAGTTGCTCGGGATCTGGGCGATGGTGATTATAAAGCAGATTGTGAATTGCATCTGAGTGCTCAGCACAGCTCGGGTGTAGAGGGAGAAAGGTGCTAGTTCTATCCGCAGTGTAAAATAGAGCAACCTCAGGGCTACTCTAAATTACATTGGTTGCCAGTGGCCCTGAGGGGCCATTCTGGCAATTAGGTTCTCGTAGGTACCAGCAATCCCCTAGTTATTGTCCCTTTCTCCTAACTACTCCCTGCATAGGTGGGGTGGGGGGAAGAGTGGGAAGTCTGTATATAAGTTGCTGCAGCAGCTCTGCATCGCCTACGCAACTGGGAACAAGCTTTACCTATGCCATGAATGACGCAAAGCTGTCGTAACGCAGGGCAGCATCAGGGCCTGTGATCCATCCATTGAGAAACTCTTGATGCCAAAATCAGTTGGTGTAAACAACCAACCCACCCTTTTCTCTCCACTCCTGCTCCTCGCCCCACCCCCCCAAATACATCCTCTCTTTCATACTCTGCGAAAGTCAACAGCTGAGTCTTCTGGTATGGACTGAAATGAATCATTCATTTAGCCTTGATTGCTCTTTCCCGCCTGTGAGCTAGGGAGCTGTGTTTAGAGCAAGAGAGTAGAAGACAAGAAATAGCAGGATGCTGATTTGGAGGCTGAGATACTGGGTGATGTTATACAATGATTTGACCTGGGTGCTTTCAGTCAATTCAGCTGGGTGACCTGAGTAAAGAGCTGTGACAATCACATGCTGCAGTTGAGCTAAGCTTTCTTGCCTCTCTCTCCTGAATGCTTAATCAGACCTACTGTACCTTGTATCCAACCCATCTGGACTATTAAATTGCAGTCTGTTCACGATTATACTCCCCGCTCCGTCACTGCTAATTTGTAAATCCCTTTGGATTTGGGAAATATGGAGTGAAGTGCAGGGGGGCTAACTAACTGGGAAGCAATTCAAGGGGAAAAAAGCTCACCAGGGGTTTAAATTATAACTGGAATGAGCTGCTCACCAGAGAATTGTACTCCTGCGAACAAGCCTTCTGTAGGTGTGTATAACAACAGGTGTGGGTCTCACTGTCCATGTGTCAGTGGGGTTTGTAATGAGGTCTATTTCATTGTATCCATGAAACACAATTTTAATACATGTATGAACACACTAACAGCCACCTGTGGGCGTGTCAAATGCTCCTTCTCTCCTCTGACTGCTCCTATAACTGTTTGATAGCTCTGTCAGGTTCATTCATAACCCTCCCCTGCGTGCAGGAATTGGGTGGGAGAGGGAAGATGTTGGTAACTTGTCCAAGCTTGGCTGACGTGAGTCTCCAAAACGCAACGCTGCTCATCTCAGACAGTGCAGCTGTTCACAAGATGATTGTGCGTCTCCCTGGGCTCCCCCTTGGTGGAGTGGCTTGAATGTGCTTATGGGCTCTGCTTGGTTCCTTTGGCTTGGCTCCTTCTAGATGGGGGTGGGGGGAATACATGGTGTGTGGAGGATACGTGGTGGGTGTTTCCCAAATGCCACCCACTGGTGATACCAAAGGGAGATGTCACTTACTGTATCCGGCTCAGAGAAGTGTGACCTGCCCCATCCGTCTCTGTGGGGGTTAACTGGGAAGTGGGTTGATGGCAGTGTTAACTATTTCATCCCTCATGTAAGAAAGGAGTGGGAGGGTCAGAGACTTGCACCGTTCTTACGTCATTGGGCTTCCAAGTTAACCTCTTATAAATAGGGCAGTTCACACCTCCCCAATCTATTACTCCAGGCTCTCTGCAGACTCAGGTAGAACTTTTTGTATCACTTAGCCTTTCAAATGAGAACCAAGTGTTTCTTTTCAACCATAAGAGCTAGAGACTTCCTTTTTGCTTTAGATGACAGCTGAGATTCTGAAGAATAAGTTCGCAACTTTGGGGAGGTGCTGGTGTACTGTATCACTGAGTACCGCTGGCTCTGACTTCTGTCTTTGAGTGCCTTTAGTTTACAATAACTGTGCCAGGTGCTCAATCACATACCATTGAAGGCTTATATCCTAGTGGCTTGGTTTCCAGGCACTGCTCAATTAGGCTACTCTAGCTCCTGGGGAAATGGTCAGCAATTCCTTTGGCAGCCTCCTTCGTCTGTAGGTTGTCTTCTCTTTACAGACTATTTCATTAGCAATGAAGAGCAGGTGCCTTCAGTGGATCACGTTCCACTGCGACCCATCTGACTTCTCTCTTGTGTTCTGGCTTCTTCTGGAGCTCTCTTGTTCACTAACTAGGTCTATGCTGCTTTTCATGATGGGGCCCCGCTCCTCCAAAGAGGTGGCTGCATTTAATTGGTACATATAAGCTAACAAAAACATGTAAAGGACTTTCAGATCCTTCAGGATGGAAGGTGCTATAAAAATATAGAGTGGTATTTTGATTACTAATGCGTACCTTTAAAAAAAAATCTTTGGTGCAGCTGATGGAAATTTCTGTCCTGAATTTTTTTTTAATGGAATATGGTTTTTTCATCAAAACAGACTTTTCCACAGGAAATATCTATTTCCATGAAATTGTGGGAGTGGGTGAGGTCATCACAAATCCCAATAACCTGCAAATGTTTTGGTTGCCAAAAAAAACACAAGAGTTTTGGCTTTGGGGGATCTGAGACAACAACTTGAAAAAAAAATTTTTTTTTTTTTTTACAAAAGTATTTTTGTTGTGTTTTGTTTTTCAAAACTGTTCATGGTGGGGAGAAAAAACAAACCTATTTCCCAGCCTTTCGTGGTCTCCGGCGATTCCCGTTGAACTCAGACTCAGTTATACTGGAGCCAGGCATCAGTCTCCTGTGAAAAGAAAACCCTGAGAGCACTGACATCTGAAACAGCTGCTTCCCGGGATTCCCTCTGACTTCTCCCCCAGCGATCACTCCTCTCAGAGTTCAGCGTATCCCTTTCTCCAGTTGGGCCTCTGTAGTTATTAAAGAAATTCAGAACATCTGGAGCCAACTGAGTGGCAATCTGTCTATTTCCCAGTAATGGCTCAGAACCGCCTTGCTAATTTCAACATGTATCTGCATACCCCCAGAAATAGCAGCCTAATAATGTTAGTAATTAAGAGAGGATTTTTTTGTGGTCGTGATTCCCAGGACAGTACCTATGACTTTTAGGCTATTTTTACTAAAACGTCATGGGCTTTCACACCCCAGCCAGCCCTGTGCTGAGCAAGCCTTCTCCCTGGGAGGCAGGGGGGTCTTGTGGTGAAAGACCTAGCCTGGGGTTCAATTCACTGCCCTGTTTGACCTGGGGCAAGTCACTTTAATCACAAAGGACTTGTCTACGCTAGTCACTGGATCAGCGGGCAGCAATAGATCCAGCGGGGGTCGATTTATCATGTCTAGTATGGATGTGATAAATCGACTGCTGAGCGCTCTCCCGTCGACTCTGGTACTCCACCAGAACAAGGAACGCAAGAAGAGTCGACGGGAGAGTGTCAGCTGTTGACTTACCGCAGTGAAGACACCGTGGTAAGTAGATCTAAGTACGACTTCAGCGACGCTATTCACGTAGCTGAAGTTGCATATCTTAGATCGACCCCGTGCGGTAGTG